CCCCAGCCTGCCCGCAGACCCGCGCCGACGCGCACGCAGCGGGGCGCGCCCTCCGCGGGCTCCGCGCGGCCCTGCCCCGGCCACTGCCCAGGTGCCTCGGCCGTTGGGCCGCTCCGGCGGCCGGGAGCTCCCAGCCAGGCCCGTCGAGCGCGGCGCGGCGCCTCTCGCGGTCGAGAGGGGGAGTCCTCCTCTCCTCCTCCTCCTCCTCCTCCTCCTCCTCCTCCTCCTCCTCCTCCTCCTCCTCCGTCGAGCGCGGCGCCTCTCGCGGTCGAGAGGGGGAGTCGGTCAGGGGGGGGGAGCGGCCGGGAGGGGCGGGGGGTCGCGGGGAGGGGGTGTCGGAAGGGGGCAGGGGGAAGATCGGGAGGGAGAGAGGGGGGCTCGGGAGGGGCAGGGGTCGAGGGGGGGTCGGGAGGGGGGAGGTGGGAGATCGGGAGGGAGCGGGTGGGGCTCGGGAGGGGCAGGGGGTCGCGAGGAAGGGGGGCGGGCGGGGGCAGGGGGGGGAAGTCGGGAGGGAGAGGGGGGGGAGGCAGATGCGAGAGGGGAGGGTGGAGACGGTGGCGCACGGAAGCGGAGGTGGGGAGGGCGGGGGCGGGGCCGCGGACGGCGAGGCCTGCGGCGACAGGGGGGGGCCCGCTCGGGCGGGGCGGGCGCTCAGATGCCGATCTCGATCATCCGTCTCTCGGCGCCCTTTACTCCGTTGATGCTCCCCTCGGTGATGTCGAACATGTCCTGGGCCAGGGGGGCAGCAACACCCAGGGCGGCCACCCCCGCCGGGCTCCACTCCCTCCGCCCATCCACGTCTCCTCACCGGCGATGAAGACTGCCAGTTTCCCATCTGGTGGCAGTGGGACTCCACCGTGCTCGCACAGGCCGAGGCGAAGAAGGAACAGGACGGAAGGAGAAAACGGGGGCGAAGGAAGAGCACACAATGCGTCCGCATGTCCATGGACCATGTCAAGGGCAGATGGCCCGCAACTGATCATCAGAGAAATACGACCCCCTCCGCCCTCCGCCGACCCTGTCGGCGTGTGGAGAGGCTGTTCCGTTGGACTCGTCGTCGTCGTCGTCGTCGTCGTCGTCGTCGTCGCCGTCGTCGTCGTCGTCGTCGTCGTGGTCATTATCATCGTCGTCGCCTTCGCCGCTCCCCTCCACCTTCCCCTAGGCCCGTCGCCGCTCCCCCCACTTTCACCGGGCCCTCCTCCTCGAGCGCGCCAGCCACGGCGAAATTGAGCAACGTTGTAGTTGAGCCGAAGGGAAGCCCTTCCCTGTGATCCCTTCCCCGCCTGTGGGGGGGCGGGTCCCAGGGGAGGTCGCCACCCAAATAATACGACTCCCCCTGGGGGGGTCGCCACCCAGATACGACTCCCCCCCAGGGCGGTCCGGGGGCCCAGAAAAGCTCCAAGACGCGGCAACAAAAGTGCCCCAAGATGCCCCCAAGACGGTCCTGGAGGGCCCCGAATCGCCGAAGTACCGGTCCAAGTCACCAAAGTAGCCTCCAGACGGCTCAACAGGTGTCCAAAACGCCCCAAGAGGCTTCCAAGAGGACTTCCAAGAGGGCCCGAAGGGTCAAAATCATAGATTTCCCGTTCGGTTTTGAAAAAAAATCGGCATTCTCGCCTTGTCAGCATCCCGACGTTCCAAGACAGGCCAAGAGGCCCCCAAGACCACCCTGGCACAAGAGGCCTCAAAGAGGGCCCCAAAACGACCCAAGAGGGCCCCAAGACCGCCCAAGAGGCCTCCAAGACAGCACAAGGGGCCCCCAAGACGGTTCCAAGAGGGATCCCAGACGGGGGGACCCAAACGGTCATTTCGAGCCCTCGGCCTGAGAAGCTCCCAGGAGGCCCCCAGAAGCCCTTAAGAAGCTCCCCCACAGGCCACAAGAGGCCCCTCAAGAAACCCCCGGGAAGCCCCAAGAGACCCCCTAGAGACCCCCTAAGAGCCTCCCAAGAGGCCCCCAACCTACCCCCCAGAGGCCCCCGAGAGCGCTCGTCGTCCTGGTCGTCGTCGTCGTCGTCGTCGTCGTCGTCGTCGTCGTCGTCGTCGTCGTCGCCATTCAGAGTCGGCGGCACCGGCCTGAGGCCTTCGCAATACGACCCCCTCCACCCTGCTATACATCCACCCTCCTAGACACACTCCTACACATCCTCCATGCCGACGCGCTTGATTTGAAATGTCGGTAGGCGTGCGAAATTGCGTCGGAATGGACCAGCGATATGTGTGGTCACGAGGTACCTCCAAAACTACCCCAGTTCCAAGTCGAGCAAGCCAGAAACGAGAAGCATGATAACCATACGCATTGGTATATTCATCGTCACCATCATCATCATCATCATCCTCATCATCATCAGCACCATCACCACCACCATCATCACGATCATCATCAGCATAGGGATCATCAACATCAACATCAGCATCAGCATCATCATCATCGTTATCGTCGTCATCACTATCAACATCGTCACCATCACCGTCATCATCATCATCATCATCCACTCGTCATCATCATCACCATCATCATCATCATCTTCATCATCGTCATCATCATCAGCATCCTCACCATACTCATCATCAGCAACATCGTAGTCACCATCATCATCATCATCGTCAGCATCATCATGATCATCCTCATCATCACCAGCACCAGCATCGGCATCATCATCCTCATCATCGTCGTCGTCATCGTCATCGGCATCGTCATCGTCATCGTCACCATCATCAACATCATCGTCATCACCACAACCATCATCATCATCATCATCATCGTCAGCGTCGTCATCGCCATAATCAACCAGCAACCAGCAACCACAATTCTCAGTCACCAGTCATACGCATCGCCGCAACGATTATTATCAGGAGCAGTCCCACGATCAGCATCACCATCACGACGAATATGAAATATCATCATCGCAACCTCAACGCCTGCATCCGAACCATCACCATCATCACCATCAGCATCAGCATCGCAATCATCATCGGCATCGTCATCGTTGACTTTATCGTAATCGCCAGCATCAGCATCTTCATCCTCATCAGCATCAGCATCAACCTCGGTATCGTCGTCATGAACACGGCGGAGTCGCGACCCCAAACATCCGGCTGCTGCAATTGTTTCGATGCGCGGGCCCCCGCGATGTCTGGACCGCTTCCCCCGGGGCCGGCTTTATGTCCCGGGTCGTTTTCTGGGCGGTCCTGAGACCTGGCGAGGGCCCCCGGAGGCCGAAAACGGCCCAAAGCCGCCGCTCCAATTTTTTCAGAGCGTCGGATCTGTGAGACCGTCGCGGCGGCCATATTTTTAGGGATGAGACGGAACGGACGTCACTAAGACGCAACACCACCGTGAAGCATGCCTGAGAGCATTGCCAATGCCGGCCAAATGTATGAAACCCGACCTGGCACAGACTGGCCTCGCAAAGCAGCTGTGTGCAAGGCCGCGGTGAAACGGGGGAACAGTTCACAACGACGACAACAACAACGTCAACGACAATGACGACGACGACGACGAAGAGTGGCGCGTCAGTAGTCAGCCTGAGAGGGGAAAAACATCGCCTGGAATGTATACGATCCCTACATCAATTTCTAATCGTTCTGAGTTCGAAAACCGCCGCGGCGGCCATGGCCGCGGCGTTGGGGGCTGCAGCGGCTGCAACCGCGAGCGGCGACGGCAGCGTGGACGGCACGGGCGGGGTGCAGCCAGCCAGCCGCGCGGCAGGTCCGGGGCCGCGGGCCTCGGTGCCCCCGACGCCCCCCTCCGGCGCGGAGGAGTCGCCCAGCGCACTGCTCCTCACTTCGCCTCGGGAAGGCGGGGGCGGCGCTGCCCTGCACGTGCAACGCACTTGCACTGATGCTCGTGCGCTGCACGTGCGCTGCACGCGCGCTGCACGCCGCGCGCGCGCGGCTCCCACCTCGGCGGGCGCGGGCGGCGGGCCTCGCGAGGCCGTGCGAGCCGAGGGCGGCGGGCCCGAGGAGCGAGGCCGGGCCCGAGGCAGAGGCCGACGCGGGGCCCCCCGCCCCTCGAGGGGCACCGAGCTCGGAAGGGGCCCGCTTCCGCGGGGCGAGGCCGCCGCCCGAGGAGCCCGCGGGAGCGCTCTCGAGCAGCCCCAGGGGCGGCCGAGGGCACTGGAGGCGAGGACCTTCGCCAGCGGCCAAGGCCGCACGCAGAGCCGCGGGCCCCACGCGCGCCGACGGAGGGCCGGCCCCCTCCTCCTCCTCCTCCTCCTCCTCCTCCTCCTCCTCCTCCTCCTCCTCCTCCTCCTCCTCCTCCTCCTCCGCCGCCTCCGCCTCCTCCTCCTCTTCCCCCTCCGCCTCCGCCTCCGCCTCCGCCTCCGCCTCCGCCTCCGCCTCCGCCTCCGCTCCGCCTTCCTCCTCCTCCTCCTCCTCCTCCTCCTCCCCCCTCCTCCTCCTCCTCCTCCTCCTCCTCCTCCTCCTCTCCTTTCCTCCTCCTCCTCCTCCTCCTCCTCCTCCTCCTCCTCCTCCTCCTCCTCCTCCTCCTCCTCCTTCTCCTCCTCCCCCTCCCCCTCCCCCTCCGACGTGTGCCGCTGCAGGCCACGGCGCACCTCCAGAGGCCCGCGGGGCCGAGGGCCGGGCCCGGCAGGCGCGGAGGGGAGCGCCACCCTGGGGCCGAGGGGCGGCCCACGGCTCGAGCGGAGGCGGCCGGCGGCTCGAGCGGGGCCGACCCGCGGCTCCCACACGAAGCCCTCGGGCGCTGGTGGCGGGTTGAACCCCGCCGCGGGTGCTGCCGCGACGCGCGGGGCGCCACAGGAGAGGCGGCGGCCGAGGCCGCCGCAAGGCGCGGCGCTGTGGAGATGACCCCGCAGCCGCGCGCTGTGCGCGTCATCCCGGGCCACGGCGGGCCGCCGGCAAACGCCCGATGTGAACATCATCACCACCATCACCACCAAACATCAAAAAGTCAAGTCCGGCCAGGGAGCCAGCGGAGGCGCCTCGCTCCGCAAGCGGAGACCGAGGGCGTGAGACACGACGGCAATGAAGCGCGCATGCAAGAGAAATGGATGATACAAGAGTCTGTTCAAATCATATCATGCATCGGGCGTGCCACCACACAAGATTGAGAAATTGATTATCCAATCGCTGCCAAGGGAACGCTGTTGGCTGCGGACGACATGAATGAGACTCGTGCCGCGCTCGTGTTGCAGAAACGTGTCCACATCATCTGCCAGCTGGGCGCTAGCGTACATCACTATCACAATTATTTTCATCATCATCATCATCATCAGCATCATCATCACCACCACTATCACCTGAATCGCAGCCAGAATCATCCTCACCATCATCATGATCATCAGCAACATCATCAGCATCATCAACGTTACCATCATCAGCAGCACCATCATAGCCAGAATCCCACATTCCATCATCATCACCGTCATCGTCGTCGTGATCGCCATCGTAATAAACATCATGGCCAGCATCACCATGGTCATCTTGAACACCATCATCATTATCATCACCATTACCACCAACATCATCACCATCATAATCATCAACAGCAATTTCATCGTCGTCATCACGATCACGGCTACTATCATAGTCATCAACATCATCGTCATCATCAACATCAGCATCATAACCATCATCGTCATCATCACTATCATCATTATCATCATCAACAACAACATCATCAGCATCATCATCCTCGTCAGCATCATCACCAGCAGCATCATCATCGTCATCTTCGTCGTGGTGGTTGCATCATCATCAGCAGCATCATCATCGTCGCCGTCATAGTCATCATGGTCAACAACAACAACATCATCATCATGTTCATCATCGTCAACACCACCATCACCATCACTACCATTATCAGCAGTACCATCAGCAGCAGCATCATCAGCAACTGCACAAGTTGTATCATCACCAGCATCAGCGTCGTCACCAGCATCACCATCACCATCTTCATAAGAATCATCATCATGAGCATCACCATCATCAGAATCATCATCCACATCATCATCATCATCAGCAGCTTAGTCATAATCATCATCAGATTCATCATCGTCATCGTCATCGTCATGGTTATGATCCTCCTCATCATCATCATCGTCGTCACGTTCGTCGTCATCATCATCAGCACCGTCGTCATCACCCCAACCACCACCTTCATCATCATAGCTACCATCATCATGATCGGCATCATCCTCAGCAGCAGCAGCATCAGCAACAGCAGCCGTCGCATCATTATCATTATCAGCATCATCATCGTCATCATCAGCATCGTCCTCATCATAATCATCACCATCATTATCGCCGTCATGATCATCGTCATCATCGTGATCAAAAGCATCATTATCATCGGCATCACCACCGCCACCACCACCATCTTCCCCATCAGTATCATCATCATCATCAGCAGCATCATCAGCAACAGCAGCAGCTGCATCATCACCATCATCATCATCATCATCATCATCATCATCATCATCATCATCGGCACGATCAGCATCCTCGTCCTTGTCCCCAGAATCAGCATCACCACCAGCATCAATCATCATCATCATCAGCAGCAGCATCACCATTTGCATCATCATCAGCAGAAGCAATATCATCGCCATCACCACGGTCATCACTACCATCATCACCATCAGCAGGCATCATACTGTTCAGCAGCAGCTGCATCATCACCAGCAACAGCAGCATCAGTTTCGACATCATCATCAGCATCATCAGCATACTCGTCCACAGCATCATCATCACCAGCATCATCATCGCAATCACCATCATCGTCGTAATAAACGTTCTCATAATCATCAGCAGCACCATCATCATTATCATCTGCATCATCATGGGCATCGCCATCAGCATCATCCTTGTCATCATCATCAGCCGCATCAGCGTCACCATCATCATCATCATCATCATCATCATCATCATCATCATCATCGTCGTCATCGCCATCGTCGTCGCCGTGTCTGTCATAATCATGGTCATCATCAGCATCAGCATCTTCATCATCGTCGTCATCATCAGCTTCATCGCTATCATCATCATCACCATCACCAGTTCAACCACCTCTATCATCACTACCATCATCAGCATCGCCATCGCCATCATCATCATCATCATCATCATCATCATCATCATCAGCAGCAGCGACGTCATCAGAAACAACGGTAGCTGCATCATCACCAGCATCATCACCCTCATCATCACCATCATCATCACCAGCATCAGCATCATCATCTTCACCATCATCATCGTCATCCTCATAATCACCATCACTGTCATCGCCATCACCGCCACCACCATCATCACTGCCATCATCAGCATCAGCAGCAGCATCATGAGCAACAGCAGCAGATGCATCATCTCCTCATCCTCGTCCCGATCATCATTTGAATAGTGATCATCAACAGCAGCATGATCTTCATCATCATCATCATCATCATCATCATCATAATCATTATTATTATTGTTATGATTATTATCGTCACCACCATTATCAGCATCATCATCAACAGCATCATCATCATCATCATCATCATCATCATCATCATCATCATCATTACTATCATCATCATCATCATCATCATCAATCAATCAACCAATCAATCAACCAGTCATCAGTAGCATCATCATCGGCAGCATCGTCTTCGCCGCCATCACCATCATCACCATCATCAGCCGCAGCATCATCAGCAACAGAAGCAGCTTATCATCACCAGCAACAACAGCAACACCAGCAACACCATCAGCATCAACATCCGTGGCATCATCATCATCATCATCATCATCATCATCATCATCGTCATCATCATCATCATCATCATCATCATCATCATCATCATCATCATCATCATCATTTTCATCGTCAACATCGTCATCATCGTCGTCATCATCATCCGTAGCATAATCCTCATCCGCTGTATCATCAACAACATCATCATCATTATCATCACCAGCATCATCATTATCACAATCATCAGTATCATTATGGGCACCATCATCAGCATCGACATCATCATCAGCATCAGCATCATAATCATCAGCAGCATCATCAAGAGCAGCAGCAGCATCAATATCATCATCATCAGCATCAGTCTCATCATCATCATCGGCGTCGTCGTGGCTGTCGTCATTATCATCATCAGCAGCAGGATCATCGGCAACATCATCGTCGGCATTATCATCATCGTCATCATCAGCAGCATCAGCATCAACAACACCACCACCATCTTCACCATGACTACCATAATCATCACCACCATTATCAGCAGCAGCAGCAGCGTCACCTGCAACAACAGCAGTATCATCACCAGCAGCAACATCATCACCACTTTCGTCATCAACATCATCATCGTCGTCGTCATCATCAAAATCAGCATCATCATCAGCACCATCATCATCAGCATCATCATCATCACCAGTATCATTGACATCGCCAGCAGCATCATCATCACTACCATCATCATCATCATCAGCAGCAGCATCAGCATCATCAGCATCTGCAGCAGCTGTATCATCACCATCATCATCATCATCACCATCATCCTCAGCGTCCTCATCCTCGTCCCCATCATCATCACAATTATCATATAATAATCATCATCATCGTCAGCAGCATCATCAACAACAATCACCTCTAGTATCCTCATCATCATCAACATAATCATCATCACCACCACCACCATCATCGCTATCATCGTCATGAGCAGCAGCATCATCAGCAACAGCAGCAGCTGCATCATCACCAGCAAAAGCATCAGCATCAGCATCATCATCAATATCATCATCATTAGAATAAGCATCATCAACATCAACATCATGATCATCATCATCCTCGCCCACGTCCCCATCCTCGTCACCATCATCATTATCAGCACCAGCATCATCATCATCATCATCATCATCATCATCATCATCATCATCATCATCATGTTCATAGTCATCAGCATCATTATCCCCAGCACCGTCAGCATCATCATCAGCAGCAGCATTATCATCATCACCATCATCATCAACATCATCATTTCACCACCATCATCATCATCATCATCATCATCATCAGCAGCACTGGCAGCATCGTCAGCATCGTCAGCACCAGCATCAGCATCAGCAGCAGCATTATCATCATCACCATCATCATCATCATCAACATCATCATCACCATCATCACCATCAGCACCACCACCAGCAGCATCAGCAGCATCAGCATCAGCATCAGCATCAGCATCAGCATCAGCATCAGCATCATCATCATCATCATCATCATCATCATCAACATCAACATCAACATCATCATCATCATCATCATCATCATCATCATCTGCATCATCATCTGCATCATCATCTGCATCATCGTCAGGATCACCATCATCATCATCATCATCATCATCATCAGCATCATCATCATCATCATCATCTGCATCATCATCGGCATCATCGTCAAGATCACCGTCATCATCGTCGTCATCACCATCCGGGCCGAGCATGGGGAGCCCGTCCTCCAGCGGCTGGAGGTATCTCATGATGTCGCATCCGCTCCTCGGAGGGTGGCCGGCGGCGCGCCGTCGCGCCAGCGCGCGCGCGCGCAGACGCGCCGCCTGCCAGTGCGGAGCGAGCAGCGTGCAGCGCGGGAAGAAGGGGGTGGGGAGGCGAGGAGGGGGAGGCGTGGAGGGGGGGGAGGCGAGGAGAAGGGGGTGGGAAGGCGTCGGGAGGTGGGAGGAAGAGGGAGGGGAGGGGGGGGGGGGGACGGAGAGGCGGGGGCAGAGATGGAGGGGGGGGGGCGGGGAGGGGGGGAGGAGGAACGCGGGGTGGGGCAGGGAGAGGGTGCGGGAAGAGGGGGCGGGGAGGTTGAGGGGGGATTGGAACGGGGACGGCGGGCGAGAGGGGAGAGGGAAGGGCATGGGGACTGGCGCAGGCGGACGGAGGGGCGAGGGATGGCAGTGGCATCTGCCCTTACGTCGCCAAGCAACGAAGTCGAGGAGATGGAGAGGGAGAAGAGGCAGGTGGAGGAGAGGTGGGTGGAGCAGGGGGGGCAGATGCGCCAGCCCCCAACCGGTGCTCCTTGGCCCGGCGTCGGGGTAGCGCAGCAGCGCCAGGAAGGCCTCGGCGTTCGCGCGTATCCGCGACAGGGCCTCTGCGGGCTGCCCCGCCTCCAGAGCCTGGGAGGGAGGAGGAGGGAAAAAGGAGGAGGAGGAGGAGGAGGAGGAGGAGGAGGAGGAGGAGGAGGAGGAAGACGAGGAGGAGGGGAAGGTGGATACGGAGAAGGAAGAGGTGGCAGGGGGGTACGAGGAGGTGTACGGAGGAGGCGTGAGGAGCTATGCGGAGGAGGCGTGAGGAGAACAAGGAGAAGGAGGAGGAGGTGAAGAAGGAGGAGGAGGTGTTCAAGGGGTGAGGTGTACGGAGGAGGCGTGATGATGAGGCATGAGAAGCTGTGCGGAGGAGGCGTGAGGAGGAGAAGGAGGAGGTGATGCGACGAGGAGTGTGGAAATGTACGGAGGAGGCGTGAGGAGGGGAAGGTATGAGGAGGAGGTGTCAGGAGATGTGCTGAGGAGGTGTGAAGACGAGGAGGAGGAGGAGGAGGAAGAGGAAGAGGAGGAGGAGGTGCGAAAAGGAGTGCGGAGGAGGCGTTTGGAGAAGGCGTGAGTCGGTGTGATAAGATGTGCGAACGAGTCGTGAGGAGGAGGCGTGAGGGGGAGAGGAGGCGTGAGGAGGAGGCGTGAGGAGGAGGAGGAGGAGGGGGAGGAGGAGGAGATGCGAGAACGGAGGAGGCGTGGAGAAGGAGGAGCGAGGAGGAGGTGTGAGCGTGCGTGAGAAGAGGTTTGGACGAGGCGTGAGGGGAAGGCGTGAGCAGGCGTGAGATGGCGTGAAGGAGGGGTTGCGAGGAAGTGTGCGAGGAGGAGTGCGGAGGAGGAGTGCGGAGGAGGAGGAGGAGGAGGAGGAGGAGGAGGAGGAGGAGGAGGAGGAGGAAAGGGAGGAGGAGGACGACGAGGAGGATGACGACGAGGAGGAAAGGGAGGAGGAGGACGACGACGAGGAGGACTAGAAGGCGGTGCGAGAAGGAGGGGTGAGGACGTGCGAGGAGGAGACGAGGGGAGAAGGGGTGAGAGGAAGGCGCGGCAGCAGCAGCCGCAGACCTGGAGGAGGGGCGGAAGGAGCAGGGGAAGCCTGCGCCTCCGCCTCGGCCACCCTGACCGCGGACCTCTCGACGGCCTCGGCAACGGGCGCGGGAAGTCCAGCGACAGCGGGTGCCGCCGGTGCTGTCGGGCACTCGCTCTGTTGCTCCTTCTCCTCCTCCTCCTCCTGCTCCTCCTGCTCCTCATCATCATCATCACCATCACCATCACCATCATCATCATCATCATCATCACCATCACCATCACCATCACCATCACCATCACCATCACCATCACCATCACCATCACAATCACCATCACCATCATCATCATCATCATCATCATCATCATCATCATCATCATCATCATCATCATCATCATCATCATCATCACCATCATTATCACCATCGTCGTCGTCGTCATCATCACCACCACCACCATCATCATCACTTTCATCATCACCATCATCATCATGTGAATCATCATCATCAACATCATCATCATCATCATCACCAGCAGCAGCTTCAGCATCAGCATTAGCAACAGCATCATCATCATCACCATCTTCATCATCAGCATCATAATCGGAGTCGTCATCATCATCACCATCATCATCACCATCATCATCACCACCGGCATCATACACATCAACATCATCATGCATACCGTGATCGTCATCCTCACCCTCCTGATCATCAGCAGCAGCAGCAGCGTCTTGATCATTTTCTTGCACACCATCATCATCATAACCACCATCATCATCATCACCACTACCATCAGCATCATCATCATCATCATCACCATCTGCATCATCAGCAGCAGTATCAACGATCATCGTCATCATCGTCATGATCATAATCATGGTCATCATCATCATCATCATCATCATCATCATCATCATCATCATCATTATAAGTATCATCATAATCATCGTCATCGTCGTCATCGTAATAAGCATCGTCAATATCATCATCGTCGTCATGGTCATCGTCGTCGTGATTTTCATCATCACCAGCAGCAACATCAGCAGCAGCACAATCGTCGTCATTATCATCATCATCATCAACATCATCAACATCATCGTCATCAGCACCATCATCATAACCATCATCATCATCATCATCATCATCATCATCATCATCATCATCATCATCGTCAGCAACATCATCAGCAACATCAATCAACACCAGTATCCTCATCATCATCAGCAGCATCACCATCGTCATCACCACCATCACCATCATCATAATAATGATCATCGTCACCACACCACCATTATCACCACCATCAGCATAATCATCATCATCAACAACGTCAGCATCAACATCAGCATCCGCATCATCAACATCATCATCACCATCTTCATCATCATCATCATCATCATCATCGTCATCATCATCATCATCATCGTCACCATCATCAGCAGCAGCATCAGCATCAGCATCAGCATCAGCAGCATCATCATCATCATCATCATCACCATCACCATCACCATCACCATCACCACCACCACCACCACCACCATCACCATCACCATCACCATCACCACCACCACCACCACCACCACCATCATCATCATCATCATCATCATCATCATCATCATCATCATCAGGGGCGGCCTCGAGCTCGTTTTGGTGGGGGCCAGTGACTCCTGAGCTCCCGAACCATTGCCTCCAGTGCGACGCCCTCGGCAGGGCGTACGCGATGGCCCGTGTGGCACCGCCGCCTCCGCCGCCAGCGCGGCTTTGCGAGGCGGGTGTTCTGCGTCGTGCGCGCCAGGCAGCTGCTGGGTCGGCACCACGCTCCGATGCGTGGAGCGTCACCGCCCGCCGCGCCCTGGCGCTCTGCTGGTGCTGCTGGTCCTCCTGGCGGCGCCAGCATTTGGCCATGCGCGGTCACGCGGCACTGCCGTTTCACGCGCAGCTGGTCCACCAAGGAGTACTGCGCTTCCAGAGCGGTCGCGACCGGCGGGGCCGCCACAGGTCCCCGCCCCCCGCGGGCGCCGGGGCGGCGCAGCCGCTCCCGCGCTGGCCTTGCCGGGGCTCGCTCTGCTGGCCAGCGCTCTCGGCAGGCGGGCGGCGCGGCGCCCGCCAGTGCGCGGCCGTCGGCGGCTGCAGCGGCGGCGGGCGGCGCCAGGCGCTGTCGCCAGGCTGTGGCCAGCCTCCGCCGTCTGGGGTTCACGGGTGAGAGCACCGTGCTCGCCGCGGCGCGGGCGGAGCTCAAACAGGCCGAGGCCGCGGAGCGGGCCACGCGCAGCCCCGCCGACCTGTGCCTCAGCGCGCTGGGCCACATGCAGGCTCGGGCACAGGAGGTCACGGCCTTGGAGGGGAAGGTGCGCGGCCTGGCGGGACAGCTGGAGAGCAAGCGTCAGGCCCTCGCCGCAGCCCAGGCCGACCTCGCCAATCTGCAGAGAAGGGTCGCCGGTGCCCTGGCGGCGTGCGCCGCAGCGGCATCCCAGGCCTGGGGCGAATTCGGCAACCCCACCTACTGCGCCTCTCCCCAGATCTGGCCCCGTGCCGCCTGAGGCGTGCAGGGGGCATAGGCTCAGGGTCGCAGGCGAGTTCGTGGCGTGCACGGCGTGCGGATCCTACACGCGAAGCGCGGTTCGTGGAGGCCTGCTGCTGCCTTGCGATCCAACCCAACATCGTCGAGAGCCGAACAAGCGTGATCGTTTGAATAGTTTCTTTGCGGGGCCTTCGCCCCGACGACCCTAATGTCAGAATTCCTGTCCATCGTGCCCTCGTCGTTGGTCATGCGGCTCTGGCATGGCCATTGCTCGTGTGATATGTTCGCGTTCGACTGTCATGTATGCTGTCGCCTCCACTGAGGCGCGGAGAGGACGCCCTGGCCGCGATGCTCGTCTGGGTCGTTGGGCCGCCTCCTTGCTCGTTCCGCTCATTCGACGCGCGCGGCGCTCGATCCGAGCTCGGTCCCGGTCATCATCTTCTTCATCATCAGCATCAGCATCAGCATCATCATCAGCATCAGCATCATCATCATCAGCACGAGCAGCATCATCATCATGATCATCATCAGCAGCAGCATCAGCATCAGCATCATCAGCATCACCATCATCAATGTCATCATTACCATCAGCATCACCATCACCATCATCATCATCATCATCATCATCATCGTCGTCGTCGTCATCATCAGCAGCAGAATCAGCATCTGCATCATCATCAGCTGCATAACCATCACCACCACCATCATCATAATCATCATCATCATCGTCATCAAGATTATCAGTATCGTTATATCATTATCAGCATCATCACCACCATCCTCGTCCTCATCCTCATCCTCATCACGATCATCATCGCCAGCAACATCATCATCATCAGCATCCTACGCATCATCATCATCATCATCATCATCATCATCATCAGCAGCAGCATCATCAGCATCATCAGCATCATCAGCAGCAGCATCATCGTCAAAAGAATGAGCATACTGATGATGATGATCATCATGAGTATCATCATCATCGCCGCAGTCATCATCATCCTCATCAATACCATCATCGTCAGCAGTATCATCATAACCATCATCATCATCATCATCATCATCATCATCATCATCCGCATCCTCATCATCATGATCATCATCATCGTCATCATCATCGGCAGCATCATCATCATCATCAGCACCATCGTTATCATCATTCTACTTGTCCAACTCATCCTCATCCCCATCATGATCAGCACCATCATCATCATCAGTATCATCATCGTCCTCATCATCGTCATCAGCAGCAGCATCATCATCATCATCGTCATCATCGCCGTCCTCGTCGTTGTCGTCGTCGTCGTCACCATCACCATCACCTGGACCAACGCCATTACCATCACCATCCTCATCAGCACCAGCACTATCATCACAATCACGAGCACGATCACCACCTCATCAACATAGTGTTCATCCACCTCCTCCTGGTCGTCATCATCATCATCACCATCATCCATCGTCCAGCATCCAGAATCAATCCTCCATCATTCACCATGCATCGAAACATCAATCATCCGACATCATCAATCATCATCAGTATCATCAATCAATCAATCCTGCATCCAGTATCATCAATCATCCGACATCAAAACAATCATGCACCCTGCATTCCTCCTCCTCCTCTTCGTGGAGATGGCTTCGAGCCCGATGAGAAGGCCCGCCCCCTTCGCTCTCCACCCCGGGCGCGCCGCCGAGCCACACCGGCGAAAACTGCACGCGCCGTTGACAGCGTCGGCGACAGACCGCGCCACAGCGCGCGTCTGTCAGCACGTGGCCCTGCCGCTGCTGCGGATACTGAGTTGTTTGGTTTAAACGCTAGGCTCTCCCTGACCCCAGGAATGCGGGGGCTCGTTCTCCTCTGTCCTTGTCCCTTCCTCTTCGTTTTCCCCTCCTGCTCTCGCCCCGCTCAAGCTTTCTGGGTCAAGCTGGGGGCCGGCCTGGGGTGGCCCAGAGGTCAGGGCACTCTCCTGGGGGTGGGGGTGCCAGGGCCAGTATGGGTGGTTTCGGGCGAGAAGTTGTCGTGTGGGGGGTCCCAAGAACTGAGCTCTCCTGGGGGTGGGGGTGCCGGGACCAGGAGGCGGGTATCGTTGGTTTCGAGCGAGAAATTGTCGTGTGGGGGGTCCCAAGAACTGAGCTCTCCTGGGGGTGGAGGTGGAGCCCGGAAGCTCCCGGTGATCCGGGAGAGCTCGTGCGCCGTCTGTGCCGCGCTCTGTGCGGGACGCTGCGCGCCGCGAGCTGCGCAGAGCGCAGGCCGCTCGGCGCTCGCCCGGGGAATCGGGGGAGGAGGTCGTCTGCGGGCAGCCGGCAGCCAGCAAGCAGGCGGGAGAAGCTGGGATCGGCTGGCCCAAGGTGGCTTCAGGTTTTCGCTCCGTCTTGGAGCCCCCGAGGCCTGGCAGGCCTCGTGATGGGCTGCCTTGGAGGCCGCGGGGGCTTCCTTGGAAATCCTGGGGGCACCCTGGGCCAGGGGCACTTCGAGCAAGACCCGATAGGAACCTCCCTGCAGCACATTGGACCCTCCGACCCTCCTGCAAACCGTGGCGGGACCGAGGGAGCACCTTGCCCAGCCTCCTCGCCCTCCAGTGTCTAGGCGCTGAGGAAGCGGCGGAGGAAAAAGGATGATGATGATGATGATGATGATGATGATGATGATGATGATGATGATGATGATGATGATGATGATGATGATGATGATGATGATGATGATGATGAGGATGAGGAGGAGGAGGAGGAGGAGGAGGAGGAGGAGGAGGAGGAGGAGGAGGAGGAGGGGGGGATGAATGGGAAAAACGATGCTGCGTGCACGCTCCCTGGCCAGTGCTGCACGACAGCCGCCAGGCTCGCCTCGCCCTCTCGCACGACTGGCCGCAACGAGAGGGCACCGATGGAACAAAATACGCACAAAATATTATCTCGCGCCGTAGGCAGGGGAGCGAGTAGGGCTGCAAGGGGAGGCCCAGCTCCGGAGCCTTGAGGAAGGGCTCGCAGATGCGGCACAACGCGAAGCTGTAGTAGTTCCCGTCGAGGGCGCGCGGGCCGTACATGGCAGGGAACCTGTTGGGCGTTGATTAAGGGTGGCGGGGGGGCGATAGATGGGGGGTGGGAAACGTGCACCATTCGTGCCCCTTTTGGGCCCTGGGGGGCCCAATGAAGGCACACGAAGGGCACTTCTCTTCACCCACCCATGTATCTCACCCGCGTTACTCGATGCGCGAACCGCGTGCCGTCCTCCCTCTCCAGCCAGCGCATCCTGGCAGACTGGCCCTTCACGATGAGGACCGCGTACATGGGCACGACGAACATCAGCGGCGGGTCCTCGCTGGCGCCCCTGGCGCGGAAGAAGTCGGCCGGCCCTGCACGTGGGCGTGGGCTGCTGAAGCAGGCGCCCGCCCCACCTCCCGCTGAGGCCCTCCCGCCGGGGGAAGGAGCGAGATGAGGAGCAGCGGGAAGTGGGAACGGAGGAGGGCGAGCAGCAACGACAGCAGAGAAGCTACGCCACTTCGCGTGCAAAGTCGGTCCTGGAGAAAAAAATGATCCCAGTGCGACCCTACCTAGGAGTTGGAGCCCCTAGGAAAGCAGCATTAGTAGTAGCAGTAAAGCTGAGCTAAAGCTAAGCTAAAGCTAAGCTAAATCTAAGCTAAAGCTAAGCTAAATCTGAGCTAAAGCTGAGCTAAAGCTAAGCTAAAGCTAAGCTGAAGCTAAGCTAAAGCTAAGCTAAAGCTGAGCTAAAGCTAAGCTAAAGCTAAGCTAAAGCTAAGCTCAAGCTAAGCTAAAGCTGAGCTAAAGCTAAGCTAAAGCTAAGCTAAAGCTGAGCTCAAGCTAAGCTCAAGCTAAGCTAAAGCTGAAGCTAAAGCTAAAGCTTGAGCTAAAGCTGAAGCTCCCAGGGGACTGGGGGAACCACGGGGCGGGGACTGGGGGAACCGCCCGGGGCGCTTTCCACTGCCCGGCCCCTTTGAGCTAGAGAGTAAGGACCCTTCTAGGCAGAGCCTAGGTAGGGAAAAAGGAGCAGCAGGACGAGGACGACGAGGGCACGCACGGGGGGGCGGTGGGTAGGCGGCGACATGCGGCGATGAGCCTCGTATCCGACACGGCCCTTGCTGGGCCTTGCGCATGATGACTGGCTGACTGAAGGCCAAGAGGCACACAGGCGGACGGAGTGATAGAAAGAGAGCCAAAAGGCAGAGGGGGGCGAGGAAAGGGAGACGACAACGAGCACTAATCTTGTAATATGTCGTTTCCCGAGCGGTGCGGCCAGAAAGCGCCCGCCACGACGCATATACCATAAGATTTCTCGGTGCGCGCGTCGCCCTTGGGGGGGGGGCGACGCACATATAGTATAAGTATGTTGGGGTGACGCCGATCTCACACGTGCACGGCGCAGTCACAAGGCACATCTGCGAGGCGGGGATTTATCCATATCCACCGCCTGGGAACCGACGTCCTGGTGCCCCAGCGGGCGGTGGATATGGATATATTTTGGGCCCCGGGGGCCCGAACATGTCCACATCCACCGCCTGCCGAGGTCCGCGAAAATTGAACCTCCAGGCGGTGGTCATGTATAAGTTCCCGCCTCGGCACATCTGCTTGGGCAGCGTCGGACCTCGGGGTGTGAACGAGGGAGTCCCCATGGCGCTCAAGCGAATTAGCCTGGGTCACCATCCGCGCTACAAACAGGCGCCGAGGCCGAATTCGGCAGCCTCTTCCCAGCATCACTTGAGCCATCGGGGGAGCTTGTTGATGTGAGGTCAGGCGAGTCATCAACTTCTGAAATCCTGACGCCGAGGCTAGAAGCCTGCCGAAAGCGCATCCGTGCTGACGAGGCTGGGATGAACCCAGTACCCATGTGTTTGGTGATCTTGCCGCAGCGTCTCCAGCAAACAAAGCTCGTCCTCCTCCCTTCCACCATTCCATCTCCTCCTCCTCCTCCTCCTCCTCCTCATGCTCGTCTCCCTCCTCTTCCTCTGGTTCCCCCTCCCTGGGAGGATGGGACCGCACTCCCGCGGCCGTCGCAGCTGACAACACTGCACTGACAGAAGATCCCTGTCTGAAGGAGGAGGACCGGTAACGAGAGGAGGGAGCAGGGAAACGGAGGGAGGAGGGCGGAGGAGAATAGGAGAAGAGGGTGCGCCCTCCGGACTTTCAGCCAACCAGGATGGAAGAAGTCGTCGATCACGATGCATCCACCCTCCGAAACGCGGTCCCACACCTTCTCCAGTGAATCCCAGACCGAATCGTACAGGTCCGAGTCCATGTGCACGAAGCAGAAGGACTCAAACTCGGGGGGGATGTCGAGGTCCTGCGGGGGTCGTGCGTGGTGGGGGGCAGCGAAGAAGCATTGCATGGAGAAGTGGGAGCGAGGAGTCTTACAGGGGCCCCAGGACACACAAATGACCACACACAAATAGAAGGATCCCCCATATTTCCCCACATTTTCTGGTTTTTTTTTGTCTCCCCCGCACTTCCCATATTTTCCCATATTTTCCTGGAGGTCGTCGACTCATTGTGTCTGTGTGTGTCTTGCCCTCCTGAAATCTGCAGAGCGCGCTTTGTCGGCATGGGGCCGAGCCGCGGGCTGGCCATCGGCCAGGCGCGCAGAGCGGCCCAGGCTGCTGCTCGACGCGCAGAGAGCTCCCCTCGGACAGCGCGCCCGCCGGAGAGCTCCTCCTGCACCGGCAGGGCGGGCGGCGGTGCAGAAAAAGACGCGGGCCTTTCGGTGGGGATCCACCCCGCGTCACGCTCACCTGGTGCATTGCGCCTGACAGTGCGCCCGCCCGAGAGCTCTTCCTGCACCGGCAGGGCGGGCGGCGGTGCAGAAAAAGACGCGGGCCTTTCGGTGGGGATCCACCCCGCGTCACGCTCCCCTGGTGCATTGCGCCTCGGCCCCTCCGTGGTCCCACCTGGCGGCGCGCACAAGGGGGGTGGAGGGAGGGGGGAGGGCTTCTCAGCAGGAGGCTGCTTCGTAGAAGGCGCCGGCCTCACATCTGCAGACAAGGCCCGCGCCTTCTAAGAAGCAGGGGTGCTTCTAAGAAGCCCTCCCCCCTCCCCCAACCCCCCTCTGCGCGTGGCCGACCTCCCTCACTCAGCTTAACCGTCGAAATCCAAACAAAGCCAACATCAAAATCATATTCCTCCTCCTCCGCCGCCTCCTCCTCCTTCTCCTCCCCCCTCCTCCTCCTCCTCCTCCTCCTCCTCCTCCTCGTCCTCGTCCTCGTCCTCCTCCTCCTCCTCCTCCTCCTCCTCCTCCTCCTCCTCCTCCTCGACCTCGCGTTCCCCCAGGAGCCTTCTGAGCGTCGTTCGTCCGCCAATCGTGCTCGCGGGCTGCTTCGGTCGGAGAGGGGGTCCCAGCTCCGGGCGCGCGCCAGCTTCTCTCAAGCGCGATCGGTCGCCTTATGGGCACCGTCGGCCCGATGTGCGCGGTCGCAAAGCACGGCCCACCTGCCCGTGTCATGCGAAGTGTGGCCCTTCGCCTGTAGACAAGCGCGTTCCACTACTCGCCAAATAGCTACTCGCAAATGGCCTGCATCCGCCACAGGGGATCGACGATATATGATACAAAGGCAGAAGTATGGTTCTCTAACGTTTGCGAGCAGGCACTCTGCGAGTAGTGGAACGCGCTCGGCGAGCCTGCCTGGGAAAGGCATCCAATGACACGGCCGCCCTCCAATGAAATCCGCGACGATTTGACATTGGTACCGTTCCGGCTGTCGCGATCGTAACAGCCATGGGGATCAGCAGCTGGTCGCCCAACATATGTCCTCGAGAGAACTTCCGCCATCGTGCATCCAGCACGTAGCGGAAGGTCCCCAAGCTGATACAGCGGGTTCGTGTCGTGCCGACTTCGGCGTTGGTTCTGACACCGCGGGGATCGTTCAAGATCGACCGATTCTGGGCCGCCGCCGGCATTCAATGTTGAACGCTGGCGGCGAGGTCGCCGCCAGTCGACACGACGCGAACCTACCATACGGATGTGAGTATTCGTGGAACTGTTCGGACCTAAGAAGCCCAGGCTACAGAAATCCCAGAATCCGCGGACCCTGTCGGCGTGCGGAAGACACTCTTCCGCTGGTCGCCGTCGTCGTCGACGTGTCGTCTCCGTCGTCTCCTCGTCGTGTCCGCCGTTGTCTCCGTATCCGTCGTCTCCTCGTCGCCTCCGTCAATCGTCGTCTCCGTCGTCCCCCCGTCTCCTGTCCCTCGGCCCTCCTCCTGGAGCGCGCCAGCCAAAGCGAGATGGAGCGACGTCGTAGGCTGAGTCGAAGGGAAGCCCCTTCCCTTTGATCCCTTCCCCGCCAGGGGGGGGGAGGGGGGTCCCGGGGGGGAGTCCCACCCTGACTCCGGATCCGCCCTACTTTGGGGAAATTCGTAAGTAGGGCTTGGAATTTCCGCCTTACTTTTCAAGCCCCGCTGATGCCAATTTCCGCCCTACTTTTCTGTTGCTGTTTCCGCCCTGCTTCTGTGCATTTCCGCCCTAATGTTGGGTGCAGAAATTTCCGCCCTACTTTTTCGGCTTCTTACAGGTGGATTTCCGATGCAATTTTACATTGGAAAAGAAGCCACAATAGGGCGAATCTGGAGTCAGGGCAGGGTGTGGGTCCCGGGGGGGGGTCCCAGGGGGTGGGGTCCTGGGGGGCGGGCCGCTCCCCAGATGCGCAATCCCCCCAGGCGGTTCCAGGACCCAAGACGCGGCAGGAGTGCCCCGAGAGGCCCCAAGGACGGTCCTCGAGGGCCCCGAGTCGCCGAACTACCGGTCCAGGGCGCCAAAGTAGCCTCCAGACGGCTCAAGAGGTTTCCAAAACGCCCCAGGAGGCCTCGAAGAGCACTCCCAAGAGAGCCCCCAGGGGCAGAAACCGCAGGCTCTCCTAGAAAGTGTTTGAAAGACTTGGGCGTTCTCGCCCTGTCGGCTTCCCGACGCTCCAAGACAGCCCACGAGGCCCCCAAGATCGCTCAAGAGGCCTCCGAGAGGGCAGGCCCCACGACGACCCGAGAGAGCCCGAAGACCGCCCGAGAGGCCTCCAAAACCGCCCAAGAGGCCTCCTCCTCCTCCTCCTCCTCCTCCTCCTCCTCCTCTTCTTCTTCTTCCTCCAAGCGGGAGCCCCGACGGGGGGCCCGAACGGACATTTCGAGCCCTCGGCCCGAGAGGCTCCCGGGAGGCCCCCAAGAAAGCCCCCCGAGAAACCGCAAGAGGACCCCAAGGGACCTCCAGGGAGCCCCAAGAGGCCCCCACGAGGCTCCCAGAGGCCCCCACGAGACTCCCAAGGGGCCCCAAAACTACCCCCCAGAGGCCCACGAGAGCGCTCGTCGTCGTCGTCGTCGTCGTCGTCGTCGTCGTCGTCGTCGTCGTCGTCGTCGTCGTCGTCGTCGTCGTCGTCGTCGTCGTCGTCGTCGTCGTCGTGGTCGTCGTCGTCGTCGTCGTCGTCGTCGTCGTCGTCGTCGTCGTCGTCGTCGTCGTCGTCGTCGTCGTCGTCGTCGTTCAGGGTCGGCGGCACCGGCCGTAAGGCAATTAGATCCGCCGCTCCTGTTGGTTGCACAGGTGTGCTTGGCGTAACATATTTTCGAGCGCACTTTGGCCCTTCCAAGTTTGGTCTCGGCGCATCCCTCCGAGAGCCCACAAACATCGAATCCCGTGGGCTTTTCAGCTCAAGATGGCTGCAAGAGGCTCTCCATTGGACCTAGATGGCTCTAGATGGCCACCACCAGGACAGCCAAGATGGCCCCATAGAACCTCCAAAACGGCCCGACGAGCCCTCCAAGCCGGCCAAGATGGCCAAGACGGTCCCCAGGATACCACAAGAAAGCTCCCAGCGGCCCTCCTGGAGGTGAAGCCAAAACCATGAATGTCCCTTACGTTCTTCAACGTCTTTCGCGTTTTCGCTGTGATGATCGGCCTTCCGAACCTCCAGGTGCTCCAAAAGGGTCCCAAGACGGCCCCGAGACAACGCCAAGGTGGCCTCTAAACGGCTCCAATAGAGTCCCGAGACGGCCCTAAACAGCCCCAAGAGGTCACTAAGGCGGCACAGATGTCCCCCAATACAATGTTCTGAAGGCGCCAGACGGCCCAAGAGCACCCTAAAACGGCCCAAGGGAGCCCCAATGTGGCTCGAGAGAGCTCCTAGACCCCTGAGCCCCCCAGGAAGGCTCGAATGCAATGGCGCGAAAGGAGCCCCAAGAGAGCCCCAAGATGACCTCCGGAGGCCCCACCCCAATGTTCCACAAGTGGTCCTCCCCAACTGCCGGGGGGACGCGCAGTCCACTGGCAGGGCCGCGCCATCGCTCGGCATTCTGCCACACGGGCCGCTCCAAAAGCAGGAGGGCGGCGGTGACTCGTCTTGGAAGCTCGGCGAGGGCTGGCAAATCCGTGGCTGCTAATACAGTCTTCCCGGAAGAGTTGCCCGCTACCCTGAATGTCATGGGGCCCGCGGCTGGTCGACAACTACGGGCTCGCGCTGGCCCTCACGACAGGCAGGGCCACGAGCTCTGGATTCTTGCAGGCTTCTCGCCGGTCCGCAGCCACCCAGCTCGCGGCCAACCTGAGCTGCTCGGCGCGGTGGGTCCCGTCAGAGTGGAACCCGAGCATCATCATCATCATCATCATCATCATCATCATCATCATCATCATCATCATCATCATCATCATCATCATCATCATCATCATCATCATCATCATCATCATCATCATCATCATCATCATCATCATCATCATCATCATCATCATCATCATCGTCATCGTCATCGTCATCGTCATCGTCATCGTCATCATCATCATCATCATCATCATCATCATCATCATCATCATCATCATCATCATCATCATCATCAACATCATCATCATCATCAAGCATCATCAAGCATCATCATCATCATCATCGTCGCCACCACCGTCATCATCATCATCATCAGCATCATCATCATCAAGCATCATCATCATCATCATCATCATCAGCATCATCATCATCATCACCATCATCATCATCATCATCATCATCAGCAGCATCATCATCATCATCATCATCATCAGCATCAGCATCAGCATCATCATCATCATCATCATCAAGCATCATCAAGCATCATCATCATCATCATCATCATCATCATCATCATCACCACCACCACCGTCATCATCATCATCAGCATCATCATCATCAAGCATCATCATCATCATCAGCAGCATCATCATCATCATCATCAGCATCATCATCATCATCATCATCATCATCATCACCATCACCATCATCATCATCATCATCATCATCAGCATCATCATCATCAGCATCATCATCATCATCGTCGCCTCTTCGAGCGGGCTGCTGCGAGTCGTCGCGCTCTCGGCCGCCCCGACCGCGGCCGGCGGGGGCACCTCGACGGCCAACAGGGCCCCGGTCGCCGGAGGGCCGCGGGAGGCCGCGGAGAGGGGCCGACGGCCGCCCGGCGCTCCCGGGCAGAGCAGGAGGAGGAGGAGGAGGAGGAGGAGGAGGAGGAGGAGGAGGAGGAGGAGGAGGAGGAGGAAGAGCAGGAGAAGGAGGAGGAAGAGGAGGAGGAGGAGGAGGAGGAGGAGGAGGTCCGGGGGTGGGCCCCCCCACAGCTAGGGGGAAAACAAACCTACCTCGCTTTTGACCACCCTCGCTTCCAAGAGATACCAAGCGATGCCAAATTGCAGCCTGTACTGGTCAAGCCGCTGGACGAGGAGGCGCGTGGTGTGGCTGGGTTTTGCCTGGAAGCGAAAGCGGGGTAGGAAATTCACGCTCTGGACAGCGTCTGGCCTCGCGAGGGATGAGATCGGCTTGCGAGGCCGCCGCCCTCAGCGACAGCTGCGCGCTGCAGTGCGAGACCTGCTTCGACGCGCTCCGCAGGTGGGTCGCAAGCGAGGTCAAGGAGCCTCTCCCGTCCACCGCCTCGGCCCTGTCGAACCTCCTCCTGGATGACCTCGGCGTGCTGTTAGAGGAGGGGAACGAGTACGGGGACGCCGAGAAGGTGGTCGCAGCCGTCAAGCATCACATGTTCTCGGTGCCAGGTGTCAACGTCATGCCGAGAGTGACCAGGGCGCTGAAGGGCTTCAGGAAGAAACGGCCCCCTCCCTCGAGGGCCCCGATCCCGAGGCTCGTGATGGCCGGCCTCGTGACCGTCCTCAAGCTCTGGGGCCTCCACGACCTGGCGTTGATGGTACTGATGTCTTGGGTCGCTTACCTCCGGCCGGGAGAGGCGCGAGGCCTGAAGGTGAAGGACCTGGTCGCTCCCGTGGGCCAGAAGCGCCGCCGCGGCCAGCAGTCGGCCCTCGACCACTGGTCCATCGTGGTGGCGCCGCAGGAGGACTACGTGCTCAGCAAGACGGGGACCTTCGACGACACGATCGCTTTGGACTCGCCGAGCTGGGTCGGCCCAGCCCTGAAGAAGGCGGCAGGGCGCCGGGCCGGCGAGGAGCTGCCCCTGTCGGTCGAGGCGGGACTGGCGGTCAGCAAGTTCAGAGCCGCCGCGACGCTCCTCGGGCTGCCTGGGCTGTGCCTCTACCAGCTGCGACACGGAGGCGCGTCTGGAGACCTCCTCACAAAGGCGAGAGAGCTCTCGGACATCATGGCCCGGGGCCGCTGGCTGTCGGGGGCTTCGGTGCGAAGGTACGCGAAGGCGGGGCAGGTGCAGAAGCTGCTCCACGCCCTGTCGCGCGACGCCAAGCTGTTCTGCGAGTGGGCCGACGAGAACCTGCAGGGGATCATCGAGGGCACGGTGGCGCCCAAGCTCCCGGCGGGACGCCCCGCAGGCCCCTGGGCCGCCAGCGCCGCCAGCCCGCCGCGTCGTGAGCGCGCCCGGGTCGGTTTTATTCCGCGCAGTTGGAAACTCGCCGTGTCTGCCACCGAGCGCGCCCCAGTCCCAGCGCCAAGGAGCAGTGCAAAATTGATAATGCTCCCAGCCCCCCCTCCCCGTTCATCATATGGGCGTGGGCCCAGCCGTGCATGCCTGATCTGCGCGCCAAGACGGCGCTACACACATGTGTGGTCATCCCCCTCAGAGTTCGAGAGCGTTGCTCACTGCCCGTGGGAAAATGTATGCGCGCTATCGATCGTCTACCGTCGCATGTGGGCTGGAGGCCGGCAAGTGATTTATCAACTCGTTGAGTTATCATGTTTGCCTGGGCCTCCTGAGAGCAGGAGATTGCGGTCAATGCACTGTTGTGACCGGTACCGTTTTCTAGTCGGCTGGAAGATACAAAAGGGCACTGGTGGACCGGTGCCCTTTTACAGTCGGCTCAGAGTGTAAAAAGGGCACCAGCTATATATGCAGTGTCATCATGTTTGCCAGAGCTAAATGACTGATCAATGCACGCATGTGACCGGTGCCCTTTTCAAGGCGGTTGGAAGGGACAAAAGGGCACCGGTGGCCCGGTGCCCTTTTGCTGTCGTCGCGCAGAGTACAAAGGGCACCAAACAAATTGAGCAGAGTTGTCATGTTCGCCAGTGCCTCCTGATCCGGTGACTCTCTGGCTCGAGTTTCCTTTTTCTGACCCTCCCCCCCTCTCCTTCCTTTCTCATCTCAGGCCCAGCTGTGCATGCCTGATCTGCGCGCCAAGACGGCGCTACACACATGTGTGGTCATCCCCCTCAGAGTTCAAGAGCGTTGCTCACTGCCCGTGGGAAAATGTATGCGCGCTATCGATCGTCTACCGTCGCCTGTGGGCTGGAGGCCGGCAAGTGATCAACATCATCATAATCAGCAGCATCAGCAGCATCATCATCGTCATCATCGTCGGCGTGATCGTCATCGTCCTCATCATCATTATCCTCGTCATCGTCAGCATCATCATTGCCACCATCGCCGTCATCATATCGGCAAGAGCATCACCAACATCACAAGGATCATCATCAGCAGCAGCATCAGCATCAGCATCGATAGAATCATCGTCATCACCGTCATCAGCATCGGCATCATTAGCATCATCAGCAGCAGCATCAGCATCATCAGCGGCAGCATCATCATCATATTCATCATCATCATCATCATCATCATCATCATCATCATCATCATCATCATCATCATCATCATCATCAGCATCAGCATCAGCATCAGCATCATCAGCATCAGCATCAGCATCAGCATCAGCATCAGCATCAGCATCAGCATCAGCATCAGCATCAGCATCAGCATCAGCATCAGCATCACATCAGCATCATCATCAGCATCAGCATCATCATCAGCATCATCATCATCATCATCATCATCATCATCAGATCATCATCATCATCATCATCATCATCATCATCATCATCATCATCATCATCATCATCATCATCATCATCATCATCATCATCATCATCATCATCATCATCATCATCATCATCATCATCATCATCATCATCATCATCATCATCATCATCATCATCATCATCATCATCATCATCATCATCATCATCATCGGCAGCAGCAGCAGCAGCAGCAGCCGTCCCCCCGCTCTCCTTCTCAATCCCCACAATACATCGTCCGCCTCTTCCTCCTCCATCTCTTCCATCTTCTTCCTCCTCCTCCTCCTACTCCTCTGGCTCTCTCCCCCTCCCCCTCTCCCTCCCCCATCTCCCCCACCTCCCCATCCCCCTCCTCCTCCTCCCCCTCCTCCTTCTCCTCCTCCTCCTCCTCCTCCTCCTCCTCCTCCTCCTCCTCGTCCTCCTGCTCCTGCTCGTCCTCGTCCTCGTCCTTCTCCTCCTCCTCCTCCTCCTCCTCCTCCTCCTCCGCCCTCCTCCCCCCATTCCCCTGTTCCCCCAAGAAGGTGCAAGACCTGGCCAGAGCAGTTCTCCGCTAGCCGGCCTCTCCTTAAAGAACGCCTTCTTCACCGTCATGCAGTCGTCGACGTCGAAGGCCTTCATGTACTGCAGGAAGTTCTCGTAGTTGTCGCCGGCAGCCTCTGTGGGGCGGTAGTCGCCCTGCAGGAAGTAGGGGTTGTCCTTCCAGGGAGCGTGCGGGCAGGCGGACGATCTCGACGATGATGCTGGCCAGACGCGTCGGCGGGCTTCGAGGAGAGATCGAAGGGTCGGAGCATGGGCCCCTCCCCAACCAAAAGGGTTCCTTCTTCAGGGCCCCGACTGTAATGCTGGCGCCAGACGCGTCGGCGGGCTTCGAGGAGAGACCGAAGGGTCGGAGCATGGCGGACGAGCGGGGGCCACGGTGGGGCCGGCGAAGTCCCTGTCAGCGCTCCCATGCTCCCCTGCGCTGTCGTCGTCTGTCGCAGCCTTATCCTCGTCCTGCTTCTCAACAGATTCGGCGGTGGACAAACCTCCCTCTAGTAAACCTCCCCTTGGTGAAAACGGCCTAGGACCGAAACCGACGGGCCTGGACCCGCAAAAATGACGGCCGCGGCGCCCCCTCGCGAACAAAAAACGGCCGATTCCCTAATCGACGTGTCAGGGTAGGAGGCTATCAACCTCCGACAGATTATCAGTTCGACTTTAACAGGTTGTCCGCCGTCTGGTAGCTGCTTGTCTTGGCCTTGTCTGCAACCAGAGAAGAACTCTCCAGTTTGGGATCGCGCCGAGCTGTATGTCTCGACTCTCATCAGGTTTGGCCACCATCTCGAACAGAGCAATCGCTGCTCCTTCCGTCCTTCCTTTCCTCCCCCTCCCGTCTCCCCGCTCTTCGTTTCTAGCCCTTCTTCCTCTTCAGCGCCGCCAGACTCGCAAGCGTCGCCAAGTTCTTGCGCCCCTAGGGAGACCAGCGGACTGGCGCGAACTCTGCCCTCAACCCCCTGCGCACAACTGCCGCCACCATATGTCCCGAAACTGGCCTGTTCGAGTTGCGATTGGCACACGAATCATCATGTTGGAGGCCTGGAAATGGGCACCAACACCAACACAGGGGGTTGCTTTCACAGGGGGCAGATGATCCTGTATTTCGGTGTTGGTGGTAATCTTTCGGTCACCTTGGAATCCAGAATATTACTAACATCACCCAGAGCGGGACCTTCTTCCCTCGGTGGAGGAGCACCGCCGATATTTGACTACCTACCAGGGGGGTTTGTAGAATGATGAGGAAGAGCAGGATGAGGAAGGAGGATGAGGAAGAGCAGGATGAGCAGGAGTGGTAGATTTGAGGCCTTCGGGTTGGGTTGGGGTGATTTGGTAGGTGGTGAATATTGGTGTTGGTGTCAACCTCTAGGCCTGCGATCATGGGCAACTCGGTGTACGAAACTGCACATGCCGCAGCCTGCCAGGGCAGGGCCTCTCAGAAGCTCGCGTCATTCGGGGCAGAGCCCCCCTTCCACCTCCTCCTCCTCCCTCCTCCTCCTCCTCCTCCTCTCCTCCTCCTCCTCCTCTCCTCTCCTCCTCCTCCTCCTCCTCCTCCTCCTCCCCTCCTCCTCCTCCTCCCCCCCCCCCCTCCTCCTCCTCCTCCTCCTCCTCCTCCTCCTCCTCCTCCTCCTCCTCCTCCTCCTCCTCCTCCCCCTCCCTTTCCACGGAAGAAATTGCAAGGCTCGTGTCGGACGGATCTTGCCCTAAGCCTTCCCTCCGTGCGCTCCAGCGAGTTGCATGGTCGATAGGAGTGCTGCCTGCGAATGGCTCGGCCCCAAAGCCCGTCGCTGTGATGCGGGGAATGGTCCACGGAACCTCTCCTCAGACGCCGGCGATGTCGGAACATGTCGTCATAGCGCTGTGCGTGCAGGTGAAGGCAGACAGTCAGTGCGTGCAGCAGATTGCAGATCGGCGATCAACATAGCACCGCACCGCAGAGCGTAGCAAATCAGCTCGAAGCGAGCATCAAGTTCGCTGGCATCCGTTTGTTTGCACAAACCCTCGAGGGCACTGTGTTTGAGCACGTGCGTCACGTCAAGGCGCAAAGCCTCAGGAAGAGATGCAGGCCCCCGAGCAGACTGAGAAAGAGCTTGCAGCTGCGAATGCAGCAGTCGATTATCACGCGAAGCGGGCGGTAGACAGACACCCGCGGGCCGATCCCGGATTTCTCCAGGAAGTCGACCTCGCTGAGCAGAGGGCTGGCAATTTCTGTAAGCTAGCTAGAGGGCTCCTCTCCCTGCTCCTCTCCCTGCTCCTCCTCCTCCTCCTCCTCCTCCTCCTCCTCCTCCTCTCCCTCCTCCTCCTCCTCCTCCTCCTCCTCCTCCTCCTCCTCCTCCTCCTCCTCCTCCTCCTCCTCCTCCTCCTCCTCCTCCCTTTCTTTGATGTCTCCCCCAAGTGGCTCAGGAATCATGAGCGCCGCAGGACCAACCAGCTCAGCCAGAGCTGACACCAGTGGGAACAAGTCCCAGTCGTCGGTTTGTGCTGCAGGCGCTGTCTAACCCTTGGGGGGGACGATATGTCGAGATGTAGTCTGAATGGTTGCCTAGGAGTTCCCGTTGGCATTCAGAGACTTCTCACGGACCCCATGGGTCACCTCGTCGTCACGGCTGGGATGCAGCTCGAGGGTCCTGGTGTCGCCCAGGGTTCGTGCGACAAGGTCCGTGAGAAGCGGTGTTGGATCTGTTTGAAATGCGGGGGTTGGTCCCAAGGCCGAGCAGTCAAGCTTTCACGGTCCTGCATGAGGCCTGGTGACCGGCCCACCAAGAAAGGTCAAGAAAAACTGCACCGCTACCTCCAGGCTAAGGCCCAACCGCAAAACAAGGGCGTTCCTGAGCCGTGGTTTGGTTATACCTGGGGCTCCCCCCTCGGTTGAGCAGGCCACTGCTGAGTCGGTGATCCTGGCTTCACGGTGGTCCAGAGTTCGATCTCGGCCTCAGGGAGTGCCCCTACATATTGGCAGCAAGCGGCTGCACCAGTCCAGAACATTCGGGGCAGAGCAGCCAAATCGCCTGGCTAGTAGCCCTGATGTTGGTCAGACCTTGGTGCTGTGCACTTACTCCTTTGGACATTCCAATCCATTCCATTCCGTTCCACTCCATTCCTCCTAAGATTAGGTCGGGCCTGTCCTCCTGCAGGGGGATTCCGGACGAAAAATTGAACATACCCCACTGGCTTGGGCCAGCTGGCTTGGGCCAAGAGGCGACGGTAGCTACCCGTCCCTCGTCGCTTGCTCCCTGCTCCCCTGTCGCTTGCGTCTGCTACTGTGCTTGCAGTGCGGCTGGACCAGGCGCTGCTCGCAGAACGCTCTCATGCTATCTCATAGAATCTCACACCCGTACTTGCACTAAAGGGGGGCCTCGCCCCAGACCTGGTGGGAAGACGTAAAACATACCAAAAAATGTTCCAAAAATCGTCCCCATATAATTTTTTGGGACTATTTTTGAATATTTCCCCAGTAGATGGACAGGCCCGACTTCCTCCTGAGATCGAAGCCGGGGCCGCGCCCGCCGCGGCCGCGGTCCTTGCCCACGTCGGGCGGCGGCAGCCCCTCGAAGGAGTCCACGGCCAGGAACTTCCTGCGCCAAAGGCTGGCGGGCCGGGCGCACGGTGGCCATCGCGCGGCAAACCGGGCGCAAGGACGACGACGACGACGACGGACGACGGACGACGGACGACGGACGACGGACGACGACGACGACGACGACGACGACGGACGACGGACGACGGACGACGGACGACGAACGACAGACGACGGACGACAGAGGACGGCCGACGGACGACGGGCGACGACGACGGAGGAGGAGGAGGACGACGACGACGACGACGACGGACGACGGACGACGACGGACGACGGACGACGGCCGAGGACGACGGACGACGAACGACGGACGACGACCGACGGACGGCGGCGTGGCCAAAGGGGGGAGGGGAGGGGGGAGGACGTCGGATTGTTTTGTCCAATGGAAGGAGGGGTTCAACCCCCCACCCACCCCTCCTGGAAGAGGGGGCGACCGATCGGGAAGGGGGAATCTGCCTAACTATTCGGGCACCCCTGGCCCAGTTCACCCTCAGCGTTTCGGCGTGCGGTTGGCCATCCTCTTCAGGACATGCCACAACCAACCACACGGGGCAGGCCGACGCTGTCACGAACGACATCCCTGTTTCCTATGAGACTCTTTCGTACACACCAAGGTTGCCAGAAGATGCTAAGCTAAGTTCGAAGAAGGGAGGGAACAACTGCCCCCTCTTTCGTGACACCGTCGGCACCTGGCGGACTGGCCGCAGGTGCCCCCTTTTTTCTTGAATGTCTGACCCCCCGCCCCCGTGACCAGAGCACTGACTGGAGCACAGGACGGCGGAACCGACTTCACAACAGGCATGCCGGAATCTCTCTGCAACACGCGCAGGCATGCCGGAATCTCTCTGACTGATGGGAAAAAGGCTGCGCCGCCGAAGACGAGCTCCTGGAGAGCTTCGGCTGATAACCCGTTATTTGCCTGTCATATCAGAACAAGTGCAACATCATGTCAACTGTGAATGGAAGGATTCTTAAAGCAACTACATGTCAACACAAGTGCAGTATAATCGGCATGATCTTGGTCTTGGGATCCTCCTTTGGTCTCGGACTGAATCTGCCCAACTATTCGGGCACCCCTGGTCCAGTTCGCCTTCAGCGTTTCGGCGTGCGGTTGGCCATCCTCTTCAGGACCTGCCACAACCAACCACACGGGGCAGGCCGACGCTGTCACGAACGACATCCCTGTTTCCTCTGGGACTCCTTCGTGCACACCAAAGTTGCCAGAAGATGTCAAGCAAAGTTATTGGAACCTGCTGTTCTGGCCTTCAAAGAAGGGAGGGAACAACTCGGACCCCTCCCCCTCCGGGGCATCCAGCGGCGCACCCTCCACAGGATGAGCACCGTGCAAGAGCTGCACGGCTGCGGGGCGACTCCCCTTTCTCAGAGCGAGGCCGTCCCTGGGCGCCTCCTTAAGCTTCGGAGCACCTCGTCGCATGCCTCACAGATCGACGGCTGGAGGGCGGTTTCCTTCAAAACGGAGCTCCCGCCTGACTGGCGGAGGAGGAGGAAGAGGAGGAGGCGGAGGAGGGGGAGCCGGAGGAGGAGTAGCAGGGCGCACGAATGCTGATAGGCACTGGTGGCGATACGAC